GCTCGTCAGTGCACTAGATAATCTTTTGTTTCACCATCCTTTACTCCCATAGTTATAGTAGTATCCAGTTTCATCGGAAAACGATCACACCAGTTGTGTATACATTCGAATCAAACTTACCCTCATATTATGCACTTAAGTAACAGTACTTGTAGCATAAAGTAGATTCATCCTATTGAATTTTTTACATCGTATAAAAGAATATTATTTCCCGCAATTTAATTTACCATAATAAAACGTGCTACTTCTATTTTATTAAGTAGTGTCATTGTAATATACTAATATTTTCTAACCTGGGTCCGATCACTGGTTTAAATGTTAGTTAACATGACTATAAAAATAATCCGACATAATCTGTATGAAGACTGGTATATATATATATATATATATGATGAAGAGTCCCAATATAGGACGAAACAACTGTCCAGTACTCCCAGGTTGTCCATTGGTTCTCTAACTGATGTCAGCTCATGATGAAATCCTCCATGCAATCAAACAAAACACCCACAAAACCAATACTTTAAAAAATATATATATATATCAAGTAAACAGCTGAGTAGTATTATGGTTAATTACAGATAAAGCGATATTGGTGAGTTTCTGCACATGATTTTTAGGTGACATATAACGATACCTAAATTACATGAAATAGCATGAGTGACCAGGTGAAGTAGAACACATAGCATTAGTGATTTCTGCATTTAAGCTGACGCCAGTCAGCACTACAAGAAGATATAATGGAAGCCTGGGTGGGGGTAGCGGTCTAGTCTGATGCAGCAACAGCTGAGCTACCAAACCTAACTGCAATCAGCACGAGTAATCCCCAGCTTTCATGTGAATCATCATCACAATAGCTTCCCAGGTGGGTTCGCTCTCATCAATCCTAATCCTAATGAATAATAACAGGTGTAAAGTAATAAAATTTTCCACGTCTTAATTTGAATATATTTGAATCCTACTGTAAACACAGTCTACAACCTCCGCTCTCTATCTTGATTTAAGTTATCTTAATAAATAAATTCACTTGGTTAACATGTTCATCCATATCTAAGCTAAACTGTTGTAATCTATCTATATTTCTTAGTACTACAATCTTTTAGAGTTCATGCATACTGATAGTAACCAGCAGCTATAACGATTAGGTAAATCAAATTAAATCTACCAGAAACATCATTGATTACTTAGAGTACATTCAACTCAACTAATCATCGCTTTTACACGAAAAGATAATTCCAACTCAATTTTTTCTTTCTTTAAAAGAAACTACAATCTCAGTGTTTAAACAATTGTCAAGTGATAAGAGAAATAGACCTTCAATAGGTAGATAGATAAATAAATCAATAAACATAGAAGCGACTTTGCTTACAACCATAATTACAGTGTTTACAGATTATCCATATTATCAGTGAATGTGCACAAACACAAAGGACATGGAGACACTAAACATGCACTCTTTTCATTCAAATCCTTGATGAGTTAGTGGTTTACAATTATATATATATATGCAAGGAAAGTCAACAAACCGATTTCTACTAAACTTAGAAGTAATTCGATCCTTCGTGTTGTCACCATAATTCGACTGCGACTAAGAAATTGATTAAATGTCATAGTAAAATGTATTCCTTGAGACACTTTTTTCCAGCTACAGGATTTGAGGTTGAACAGTTCAGCACTACAAAAAACCATTGGAAAATTTATTTAGATACCAAACACCAACAAGCAGTTGATATTTATAAGTTGGGTATGTCAAATCTTCACGACTTATAGAATTGATAAAACTCAGATAGCACTGTCCAACTTGTTTTTCCTAAACTGAGATGCTTCATAAGCAATTGGTTTTCAAATTGGATTTCCTGGGGAACTTTTGAAAAAAAACTCACATCATCTGGCCAGGGTGAATGGAAGGAAAGTCAGTAACCAATCAGAAGAAATAGCTGGGACAGAACATCATAAATAGATAGTATTTGGAATCAGGTATTATTGGATCTCAACTTACCATCTGATAGCCTTGTGGCTAGAGTTCGACCCCAAGTGAAGTGCGGCTTCGGATTTCTGAAACTGTGTGTTACACACCTCAGTTTCTCTAAATAATTTTACCTTCACAATTAAATTTCCCTGGAAATATAACATCTGAATATATTTTAGTGAAGTAAGTGAAGGTTATCGTCCAAAAGTGAAAGTGATGTTGGTGAAGCTGAAAGTGATGAGTTGTCACAATCATAGTTGCTAATACAAGTCAATGCGTAAGAGGAGTTAAATATGTGCATTCAAGTTACGTAATAAGATGAATGTGAGTCGGTGACACACCGGTAGAATGCTCGCCGACCACGCATGTGGTCCGGCGTTATCATTGTACATGTTTTTTATTACATACTGATGACATAGAATAGACTGGTCTATTCACTGTATTTTTGATATGATGGAGATCCACTAACAAAAAGAACGACTTCAGTTGATGTTATTCCTTTTTTTTGTAAATCTTACAGGTGACTTTTCATTTCAGGTGAAAAAATAACATTGAATATTTTGATTAACTTCCTATCTGGGTACATACAATAGTCTACTTTCAGCTGTTTCCGTGATACGACACTCAGTCATCTTTAAGCAAGACTCACTCTTGAACCCACTCCGTAGTTTCAATTTTTTTTATTCCTTTGTATTCCCAGTGGAACGTAGGGCTTCAAGCTAGAGCTGTGAAGTTTCGGTAGCAGTGGTATTTATTTTTACGGGATGGGGTTGCTAGCCTCATGCCTCTTTACCAGTCTGACTACTCTCTTAGCGAGGTAAAGGAGTTTCATATATATTTATATCGCGAGATAAGGGCGACTCAATACAAAACACAATTTCTGCACACTCATACCCTAGATGATATTGATTAGAAAAATAGTCTTTTAATCTAAATACGTATAAGGTAAACATGGAGATAAGTAAATGACATCAATGCTGTGAGTGAATTACTCCTTTTTCACTGGATGCGTTCAATTCGATTTTTCTACAATTGTTTTATTTCTTCCTTTCGCATGTATAAAAAAAAGACTACTTTAAAACTACATCATCTAAGAATCAAGAAATCAATGTCAACAAACTTTTTAAAACAACAACAAAAACAATCGTGATGTTAAAGCTTATCGATTAGATATTGTAAACATTTGGTGAATTGTATTTATATGTAAACTAAATAGAAGATATACCTTTCTGTGATGTTTTTGAAACATTTGAGTCAGTCGACTTCATGATTACTTGTAGAAGTTATTCAAAGTGAAGATAGAAAGCAATACCAGTGATTACACAGCTTAAAATGGACTTATTGTGTAGTTATGTTAGTCGTCTGCATATCAGTTATGGTCTACAAGTGATCGATCTCTGAACAAATATTTTAATAAATAAAGTATTCTACCTTTAGTTCAATCAGTAGATGGTATTGTGAATACTCACCAGATGAAGCGACTGGCTGATATGAATATTGAAAATGCAGTACCCACAAGATATATGGTGGGAAGTGTAGGTGATGCGGTCGAGATTCTCAGTATGCCAATAATGAACAGTCAGAGATACCTAGTGAAATGGCACAACTAAGACAGTAGCCTGAGCATATTTACTTTTTATTTGGACTTTTACTAAATATCCTCTTGCTGTCTTTCACTTATGTCTCTACATTATAGCTTCATCCGAAATTAATTATATCAATTCATTATGTTTCTCTTTTCAAAGTGTGGCAACTTAAACTGACCTACTGTGGTGAGAGGTTCAGTGTTAAATTGACAGTTTGTAAATTAGTTAATTAATTTGCAATTTTCATACTTGTAGGTGATTATTTCACCATGCTCTCCATAGGAAACCTTCAAAATTCAGATCAGAGTATATGATCTGCTTGATGCCTTAAATAGTAATCAAGAAAGCAAACATAAATGCAACACACTGCATATTAACAGTCGGTTAATCAATTAGTTGAGATAGATGAGTGTAGATAACTAATAGAAAATGTGCTAGTGAAAGGTGTTAGAAACATTTATGATACTAAAAAGGAGATACATCTACTCTGAAATAGACTTTAAAGCGTCGGTGGCACAGTGGTTAGGACTCTCGCCGACCATGCACACGGTCCAGAGTTCGATCCCCTGCCGACGCACACCCGATATCTATGGTCAGCCTGCAAAATTTGGGCTACCGATATCCATGCTGAAAATGTCATACTTGTACTGAAAATACGGTGTGGCATCAAGCTGTAACCAAAAAGAGATTTTTTTTCAATCAGATTCATTTTACTGACATTCGAATCACATCATTCAGTTAATTTACTTCCTTCTTCATAACCTGGAACAGAAGCTAGCGATTTAACAGCGTACTGTTGACTAGATATTTGCTAGACGTTCATGATATACTTTACAATGATCTTAGTTATTCCAGTTAATCTCAGCCCAAAACGCACAACTATCTACCGAAATATGTTGGAAAGAATGCCGAATGAATCTTAAGTGGTCTTAGAGACCTGTGCAAATCTACTAATTGTACTGGTCCACACTCGGTTTAGATTTCTCACTAGTGTATGTCTTCACTTTCATTTTCACTTACCTCTCAGTCAACTTCATCTGTGTCAATAAGTTTTAGAATTAAGCCTAGCTACATTTAATTTTTAAGATATAATAATGAGAACTTTCAGACAACGTGATTACCCTATCATGATTATTTCGAAGAGCTAACCACACTAATAAATATTTTCCCAGTCCCAAATGCTTTTGCAAACTCAAAGTTATAAACTTTGTCTTCCTGTTTATCCACAATGCTTCAGAATGAAGTGAAGGCAGCCACCAGTGACATGGTAAGAATATCGACTGCAAAGCTATTAAGAAAGAGATATCAAACAAATGATCCCTTCTTATAAGTAATGCTAAATATCTGATGGTTGACAGCAACCTGGAACCGATATGAAAACTTATGGACAAAAAGTATCTTACATTATTATTGGTGTTTAATGTATACATACTTTCCCTAATTTTCAGGCACAATGTTGGCGTTCTTTTGGGTTATCCAAAGGCAAGTCATTGGTCTACGTTAAGAAATAATCTTGATATTCTAACTGATCACTGGTTAAGCTTAGCCACAAAAGCAACAGAGAAAATAGCGAATCGTGATGACAGTGTTAACATTCTCGTAACAACAACACAATTTATACCATCATTGGCTAAAATTCTACTTTATGGATACGGGAATTCATTTCGTATTGAAAATATTTATTCGGCGACTAAAGTTGGTAGGTTAATATGCAGTTTCTTTTCGTAGAAGTATGATTATATCCCTCGCAGCTTAGAATACCACCTCGTTTAGTTTTCCAGCCGGTTACGAAACCGGCAAAATACGGAAGTTTGGGTGTGAGGCTAGCCACCCTACCTACATCCGGAATATCAACCAACTTACCACAGAAACTCCAAACCACAACAAAAATATAATCAAAAAATTATTCTTCCATGGAATCGGGGGGGCGGAATGATGTGGACCAGCGAAAGCCTTCGGGAAACAGTCAGCCAAAATGTCCTCTTCGTTAAAATCGAAAATAAGAATGGTGACATGGAATGTCCATACAACGTTTTAGCTAGGGAGATTGCTCAGATTTCTAAAGAGATGAGAAGATATGGCATAGAAATGCTTGAAATCTGTGAGTACACATGGAATGCAAGTTAACTCTCCAAACTCTTACTCCGATAATCCAGATGACACCCACCAACACACTGAGGGAGTGGTCACCATGATGTCACCACACAATCCAATGCTCTTATGCAATGGGAACCAACAGAAGGAGCAGCTGAGTTCAATGCACAACGTACTGAATAAAGAAGCGAATAAGAATGCGAAGAAAGAAAGAGATAATTCTATGACACACTCCAAGCTGTAACAGAAGAAGTCGTAGGCAAAACAAACCTCAGAATATTATACCAGATAATCAGGTCTCTACCCGGGAAGAGATCAACACGCACGAACCGAATGAAAGACATAGAAGAGAATCTAATAATCAGATAGGACAGCAAGGGAAACAATGGACTGATCACTTAGAAAGACCCTTGAATTCACCATCACATGCAACTAGTCCAGAAAGACCACCAACACGCACGCACGGAACTGCCTGTCAGTGGACACCAATCCTCCATCCAAAGCAGAAACCTTCAATGCAATACAGCTACTGAACTTCGGGAAAGCAGCAGGACCGGACAATTTTCCTTCTGAAGCACTGAAAGCTGATTCAGAGATTGCAGCAGATATGCCCACGCCACTACTGCTAAAGGTGAGATGTAAGGTAAGTTACCCAATGGCTGGAACAAAGGTTGCTTTGTCAAACTGCTGAAAAAGGGGGACTTAGGTCTCTGCAAGAGCTGGCGTGGGATCATGCTCTCGTCGACGCCAAACAAAGTATTAAGTCGCGCTATCCTAGCTCGATCAAAAGATCCACTGGATGGAGAACTCCGACCTGGACAAGCTAGATTCAGGAATTCACCATTAACTTACATCAGTTAGATAACCATTGGAAAACCTTGGAGTACTGGACAACTGCTTCACCATAGCACAAGACTCTTCAGCAGGACGTAAAAAGTGGAGTTCGAATCCGGAACCTCCTGGTCACAAGGCGAGCCCGTAAACCATTAAGTCATAGGGACGCGATTCAATGGCCTATGAATCCCAACTTCATCGCTACCACTGGCCAATGTCATCCACGAGTATTGGTCCTCACAACCAACCTGCTCATGACGAAATCCTGAAACCAATCAAATAACTGCAGACCGACACTTGCACTCAGAAAAGGCAAATCATGTGCGGATCAAATTGCAACTACACACATCATCATCATCACCTTCGAACAGAGCATGGAATAGCAGTCTAACCTCTACATCAACTTCATTGACTTTGGAAAGGCCTTCGACACTGTTGACCACAAAGTAATTTGGAAACTACTTCAACACTACGGAGTGCAACGCCCAAATCTTCATCAAACTCATTCAACAACTACATAACAATACCACATGTCAAGTGGCACACAACGGAAAACTCAGCGAGGCAGGAGTTAGACAGGGCTGCCTATTATCACTGGTGATATTTCAAATTGTGGTGGAGTGGATTATGCCGAACAAGGTGACACAAAACCAGAAGACCCAGAGGCCCATACCAACAAGTTGGCAGAAGAAGTATCAAAGTCAGAACTTCAAGTGAACACAGGGGAGGCAGAGGTGATGAAGATACCCCATCACTATCAATAACAGGCACCAGTCAGAACTGACGAGAGAAATTTGGAAGAGGTGAACTCGTTCACTTATATGGGCAGCATCGTTTCAACTTAACACGGAACGAATGAGGATGTCGAAACTGGAATCTTAAAGGCAAGACACACCTTCGTCACTCTGAAATCAGTTTGGAGATCTTCCACACCCAGCATAAACAACAAGATTCGGATTTTCAACACCAATGTTAGGTCAGTCAGTTCTTCGACATGGGTCGGAGACTTGACGCGTCACGGCAAGCATTTCCAACAGGTTGCAAACTTTTATCAACAGCTGCCTTCACTGTCTCTGTATTGTAGACCAGAGGTCCAGAGACAATTAGTAACAAGAAAGTATGGGAACGAACCAATCAAACACCTATTGGTCAATACATATTCCGAAGGAAATCGAGGTGGACTGGACACACGATGAGGAGACCGTTGGGTGACGTCGCGCGTCAGACCAGCGCTCGAGTAGAACCCGAATGGCTAACGACGAGTGGAGGTCGTGAGAGGAGTTCATCAGAGACTATGGACAATTTTAGGGCCAGCTAAAGAGAACCACAGAGAATGGGACCAAGTGGAGATGTTCCGTTGAATCCACATGTTTCACTCGGAACCCAAGAGAACAATAATAATAAAATATATTGTACGCCGATCTAATACTTCACTCATCATTTGATCACCTCTGTCACATTGATTGACAAGCCATGACGACATGCAATAGTATTCACTGCACTTTGTTTCCGGATGTTTCAAAAATCTAGTAATTCTGTCGATATAGTTGTGACATCTTTCTAATCTATTGAACCACCCCTTTAGCTTAAAACAGATAAATGCTATTCCTGGCTTTCATGTTACAAAGCTTGAGTTAAAGGAAGATCAGACCTCAAATGGAGGTGTTTTTAAACAAAGGAGTATTAAAATTTCACCGAGTCAGGCTCTTGATACGAACATGGCCCTATACATAATAACTACCTGCGAAATAAGAGTACAGAAGCACTTCAATAGGACATTGATTGCAGTAATCTAGAGTATAGGTGCACCATTTAGAGAAAAGTCTGAACATGTTCTTCCTGAATATACAGTGCTGACTTCGTTAGCCATAAATTCAGTTATGTGAAGAAGACCGTTCACGATTATATCTTATGTATGCGGTATATCAGCGTCTACAAATACTTATTGTGTGCAAAAATACTAATGCCATGCAGTTCTATCTTTATTGAAACAGGGAAGGAAAACTGTTTTGAAAGAATTTCATCTCGATTCGGCAGGAAATGCACTTATGTAGTTATTGGTGATGGAAAGGAAGAGGAGGAAGCCTCTAAACAGGTTAGTCTACATTATAAATTGTTGTCGACTTAGTCATGATCAGTTTCCATACTTTTGGTAGACCGTTTAACTCTAGAATAGCTTTGGACTGTGTAGTGTAGGTTTGAATCCCCTTATGAGAATCAGATTATTTAAGAACACATGTAAGTTTCACTAATGACTATCCAAAAGACACAAATTTGAGATAGGAGAAACTTGAAAGAGATTTACATAACCGTAAGTAGCGTTTGATTAAGTTGATTGCGTAAATTAATATTAGAATTGTATATCTCTTAATTATTAAGGTGAGCAACCGTAAGTAAACCAATATTCACTTCACTTTCAGAGAGCAGGGAATTAATTTAGCGGTTTCATCCCTATTGTTTATTGGCAGTAATCTATGAAGTGGGACGTTGTTCCATTCTGATTAGCAGCAGGACTGGACAACTCAATAAATTCAGTTTCCACACATCACTCCAAATGATCAAACTGAATTATTGTTTACCAATTCTATAGTCTGTTTACTGCATATCAAGGTCTAATAAACAATTGTTAACATACAAATGAAATAGATAGTACACAATATCAGTGAAAACGAAAAATCGATAAAACACGCTTGTAAAGTAGTATGTTTTTGTTTATTTTTCTGAACAACAATAATAATAAAAATTGTTATTTTTCTAAAAAAGAAGAGTGAATGAACACAGGCTTTGATATACAAAAACGAAGAATGAGAGAAACACTGATTGTGTAGGCCGACCCCTAATTGAGCTGTTTTTATTAATTTAGCTAATTATACGTGATTGCTTGTAATTGTGTCGAGAAGGATAAAAAAAGCTGACGAGCTCATCAGAAATGTGATTGTACTCTGGTAGCCACCAACCGACATGACGAATTAGTAAAGGTTGATATTACCAAAGGTGAATAGCAAAATAAGGGGGAAGACAGCAGTCTCGGTTAATATTAGGATACAGACAATACAAAAACAAGAGGATACATCAGGATATTATGCGAAGTATGAATACAAATTTAATGAGTGAGTAATATCTATAGACAAACCTTTTTGGTGTGGTTGTGTTCTCTGAGCTGGATGGTTTGGTAGCGAAGCTTTCATTGCTCTACTGAGCAACATCTTCAGCGCATACTTCGATGTGAAGTGAGCTTTTAGAATTCTCTATGAGTTTATTAGTCATTCCTTCTGCTAACCTTGAAA